CTCTCATGCCTCCATCGCGTACTGTAGCTGGATCTAGTGAGCCAGCCAACTCTCTCGCCACTTCAACTAGTCGTCGAATAACTGCCGCACCCTGACCCTGGTCTGGTAGTTCACATGCGAAAGCCCACCATACAACGTTCCGAGACCAATGCTTGAGCGGATAGAACCTCTGCCACCTGCTGTCCCACGCCGGTGGAGATTTCATAGTGCCCATTATGCTTACTTGATCCGCCGCGCTTCCGAACCCTGCCGCCTGAACATTCTTCATATTCGTCGATGGCATCGTGTCGTCGTCGTCGCGATCTCAACCGCCGTAGTAGTGGTAGCACTCGAGATCGGAAAGGACGCAGTCAGCGATGTCCGTGGATGGTGCCGCCTGGCGGGCGGCGGGGGGGAGCCGAAGCTCCGCTACCAAGGTCGATTGACCCTGGTTAGATGGAAGATAAGAAAAAAAATCATCATAACATGTATAGAACGAAACTCCTGGACGCGTCCTTGAGTGAAGCGGTTGCGGCGGGCAGGCGGACCATACACACGCATGCGCACATATACATATACGTGACACATATATCCTACACTGCGATTTCTGCAGGGAGGGGTGCCGGGGGGGCGGCCCCAGGGGATCCCGGACGGGGTTGGGGCGGCGGTCCTGGGTCAGATTTCCACCCCCTGGAGGTAACAGCGGGTCCTGGGGGGGGGGAAGTTCCACTTGTGGACAGGTGGGACACTGAGGGGTCTCCCCTGTGGGAGGGGGCTGGCCCAAGTCCCGGCCCGGGCCGCGGTCCCGACCCCGGCCCCGTCCCTGGCCCCAGGGTCCTAGGTGGAGGACCCAAGGTCCCAGGGGAGGTCCCGCCTTCAGGGTCGGCGGCGCCAGCCGCAAGGCCTTCACAATAAACTGCACAACTTAAACTCTCTTTTCTGGAAGACTGTTAAGATCTGGACCCCCCACATTTAACCGCCCAATTTTTCGTATTGCAATGTACACATGATTCTGCCCCATCGTCCATCCTACATATGAATTCGTATCATCCCAGTCAAACTGGCAACGGTTCCCCCCCTCACCCTCTGCAAGAAATACTATGCGCGCACACTCGTTTATCAAGAAACATCCGTTTTCAAGAATCCCTTGCAAAAAATGGGACGAAGTGCACACGCGCGCGTCGTCGTGCGTGCGCGCATGCCGAAATCCTTCAAAACCTGAACTGTCGTAAGGAGTTCAAAATCGAGAGTCACGAAACCATGCGAAAAAACACATGGTTTCGCAGCAATAATGTTCAAACAAAGTTTGCGTTCGCGTTATTGAAAATCTTTTCTTGAAACCAAACCATACGTTGTTCAACAGTTACTGAAGTGCTACCAAATGGGCCTCTCGCGCGCGCGTGTTGAAAACTTTCGAGCGCCTCGTGCGCGCGTGCTGTCGCAAGACTCCCTCGCAAAACAAAAAAAAAAGAGAAATACACACACGGGCGCCGTCGCGCGCGCATGCCGAAATCCTCAAAACAAAACCTTAGGTTTGCAAGGGTTTCAGAAACGAATGTCCCGAAAACGACGGCGAGCACTGAGCCGCCAGACCGCCTGTTCAGGCCCAGTTCCTGAGCAGAGAAACTAGAAACCTAAGCACTGTTTGGGGAAGAAACACCCCTAAGTGCAAGCACTGGTTGGGGAAAATGCACTTTGCCTCCAAATCTGAAGCATGCGCGGAGCGGACGGCCTGCGACCACTCCGCGTCGGTTTTTGACAGGGACGGCGGGTGTGCTGGCGTGTTGCTGGCTGCGAGCAGGCCAACACCCTCCCCAAACCTTTCCTTGCAAACGCAATACGAAGTGCACTTTGCACCAACATCTGGATCATGTGCGGACGCCCCGCGATCGCTTTGGATTGGCTGTTGACAGGGACGGCAGGGGGGGCAGCATGTCGCCTGCTGCGTGCACTTCCAACATCCCCCCAACCACCCCTTTCAACAAAAACTTTACGAAATGCACTGTACACCAATTCTGGATCATGCGCGGACGCCTCGCGCTAACATCACATTGATGTTTGGCAGGGATGGCTGTGGTGACAGCAGATTGCCTGCTGCGTGCAGGCCAACACTCCCCTTTTAAAAGAAAAGCAAAACAAGCTCATGTTCGCCAGCGTGGGCAAAAAAAACGTGTTTCTAGCAATCGATGTTGTAGGGCATATGTGGTGCAATCTATGTTGTGCAATATGTGTGGTGCCGGCTACGCGCTGCGATAGATGGTGTGCAAAATAGATTGTGCAAGATGTCTGGTGCACTCTGTGTGGTGGGATACATGCTGTGCAACATACGTGGTGCAATCTATGTGGTGCAAGTCTACGTGGTGCAGTATATGGTGCAGTATATACTGTGTAGTATACGTGGTGCACGCCATGTTGTGTAGACTACGTGTTACCCCCTCCCCTGGACCTGGATGCAGGTGTCACGACCGATTGGAACGTCCAATATGGCCTCAGCGAGCAGACAGAAATCATTGACTTCACTCAGGTTTGGGGCCCATTTTAGCCCCCTGGGGGGAGGGCTAATCGAGGGCCCCCCTCCCTTCTTTGATCGAACTCCTCCAAGATGGCCCCAAGATGGCCCACAAGGTTCCCAAGAGTGCACCAAGAGGCGCACAGGAGGCCCCGGAGAGGCCACAAGAGTTCCCCCCGAGACACTCAAGACGCTCCAAGAGGCCAACGGACCGTCCACCAAGAGAATCCCAATAAGCTCTCAAGAGATATCCGAAGAGACTCCGAGAAAGGCATCCAAGATGCTTCTGGCCTTTCTGCTCACCCTCACCCTCTTTCTCATCCTCTTCCTCATGCACATAGTCGTGCTCCTCCTCCCTCCTCCCTCCTCCCCCTTCGTCGGACAGAGCTTGAAGCACCCAGTCCAAGAAAACGTACCCCAGCAGCCTTTGCAAGGCTGTGGCGGACGTCACCTTAGACAGCACGTCTCAGATCGCTGCTACAGAGCAGTCTGTCCATTCTTTTTTTCGAGGTCGATCATCAGGATATGATCAACCGTCTTATGCAGACTTAGTTTCCTTGGACAGAAGACTGCGATCAGGAATTCGCCCTAGCTCCAGACTTTGCCGGTGGCAAGCGAGAGCAGGGGAAATCAAAACGAGCTGACCCTGAACTTCAACGCTTCTCCCAACCATCCTGTGGTGTTGGGTCCTCGATTTGAAGAGACGGTCCCCGCGTTCCTCCTCCTCTTCCTCCTCCTCCCCACCCTCCTCCCCACCGTCCGCATACGTCCCGCACACCCAGTACAGCGCTTCGTGGCCCCATAGGGAGCTCCACCGAAGGTCCCAGTGCTACAGTCCGCATGCGCCCCGCACACCCAGTACAGCGTTTCGTGGCACGCCTCCCCCCCCTCCCTGCGTTTCACCCACCCAGTACAATGTTTCGTGGCCCCATAGGGAGCCCCACCGAAGGTCCCAGTGCTACCGTCCGCATGCGTCCTGCACACCCAGTACAACATTTCGTGGCCCCATAGGGAGCCCCACCGAAGGTCCCAGTTCTACCGTCCGCATGCGTCCCGCACACCCAGTATAGCGTTTCGTGGTCCCACAGGGAGCCCCACCGAAGTTCCCAGCGCGACCGTCCGCATGCGTCCCGCACACCCAGTACAGCGCTTCGTGGCCCCATAGGGAGCTCAACCTAAGGCCCCAGTGCCACCGTCCGCATGCGTCCCGGAAGCCCAATTTGGCATTTTCACCCACCCAGTGCAGCGTTTCGTGGCCTCATAGGGGGCTCCACCCAAGGCCCCAATGCCACCGTCCGCATGCGTCCGGGAAGTGTAATTTGGCATTTTCACCCGCGCAGTGCAGCGTTCCGTGGCCCCCTAAGGGGGCTCCACCGAAGCCCCCAGTGGGACCGTCCGCATGCGTCCCAGAAACCCAATTTGGCATTTTCGCTCACTCAGTAGAGCGCTTCGTGGCCCCATAGGGAGCTCCACCGAAGCCCTCAGTGGGACCGTCCGCATGCGTCCCGGAAACCCAATTCGGCACACCACCCACACAGTACAGCGTCTCCCAACGCCCAGTGCAGCGATTCGTTGCCCAATAGGGAGCTTCACCGAAGCAGATATTCACAATTACGGTACCCACAACTGCATATGGTTGGGACCTTCGCCAGGATAATTTCTCAGAGGCCTAGGGGAACTGGGCTCCTGCAGCCCAATCCCAACTTGAAGGTCCGTTGGACTCTAGCGACCGAGCAGTGGGCTTTGGAGATCTCCCCCCATATCCCCTCGTCTTCGCCTCCGACTCCACCTCATGGTCCCCCTCCCCAGCTCACGGAGGAGCAGCAGGCGAGGATCGCCCTCCATCGCGCGGAGGCCCTTCGCCGCAAGAGTGCCAGAGCCCGGGAGAGCGCCCGCGAGGACCACCTCGCACGAACCCTGGGCGGCGCCAAGAGAGCAGCTTCACATCAAGGGCCTCTTCGAGGAAAGCTAGGCTGGGGTGCCTCCTCTCTCATCCTTTGTCCTTTTGATTCACTTCTCTGGGTTCTCTCGAGCCAGCACAGTAGACTGGAGTTCAGCATTGCGCTCATACCTCGGTCCGACGACTACGACCTCACCCTTCCCCTCGTCCCTCGCCGTCCTCCTCCTCTCCTCCATCTCCTGCTCCTCCGATTCCTCATCCTGCACGCTCCTCCACATCCCTACTCGCTTGGGCATCGTTTCTGACGGGGCTGATGAAGTTACTTGTTGATTCGCGAACGCGCGAAACGAGTCGAACCTCGAGCGTGCTAGGGCGGGCGGCGCCCACTGATGAAGTTACGCGAAGCGTCTAGAATAATCATCTGGGAGGGTCCGGGGCCGACCCAACACATCTGCGCGGACATCCGGAAGTTGATCCTTATGTTAATGTGTAATCATTGTACGCCTGATCTACCCTTCCCCCCCCCTGCTCCATCCTCCACCGCACCATCATCCTGCCAAGCTGCCAGCGGCGTGCGCCGTTCCTGGGGGGGCGCGGCCGGACGGGTCAAGCCAAAGGCTGCAGGCTTCTGGAACTCCACCGTCAGGAATCCGCCGCTTTGGCGCAGCAGGAACTGGGGGTGGGCGCAATGATACATACGCTCCCACCCTCTCTCACTCCCTTCCTCCTCCTCTCCAGCTTCCTCTCCCTCTGATCCTGTCTCCCCCTCCTCCTCCTCCTCCTCCTCCTCCTCCTCCTCCTCCTCCTCCTCCTCCTCTTCCTCCTCCCCTCCTCCTCCTCCTCTTCCTCCTCCCCCTCCTCCTCCTCCTCCTCCTCCTCCTCCTCCTCCTCCTCCTCCTCATCATCATCATCATCATCATCATCATCATCATCATCATCATCACCATCACCATCACCATCACATCATCATCACCATCACCATCACCATCACCATCACCATCATCATCATCATCATCATGATCATCACCACCACCATCATCATCATCATCACCATCACCATCACCATCACCATCATCATCACCACCACCACCATCATCATCATCCTCATCCTCATCCTCCTCCTCGTCATCATCATCATCACCATCATCATCATCAACATCATCACCATCGTCATCATCATCATCACCATCATCATCACCATCATCATCATAATCACCATCATCATCATCATCATCATCATCATCATCATCATCATCATCATCATCATCATCTTCTTCTTCTTCTTCTGGCTAATTCTAGACGCTTCGCGTAACCCCACCAGCGTCCGTAGCCCCCTCTGGCTCAAGCCTGGCTCAAGCCACTGGCTCGAGCCGCTCTGGCTCGAGGGAGCCAAGCCGGCTTGCGCCTGCCGGGCCTGCCCCCCTGTTCCTGGTCTGGCCGCCGACGAGGGCCTGGAGGGAGCCCCGCTCCTCCCTCAAAGCCCTCGTCCCCGGACCATGGAGTCACGCACGGCGCAACGGCGGCGGCTGCGACGTGCTGCCGCCGGTCGCGCCGCCGCCCGCGCCGCCGGCGCCGCTGGTGCCGCGTCGGCCGCGGGCGCCGGTAGCGCCGCGCCCGCGACCGCGCCGCCGCCCGCGCCGCCGGCGCCGCTGGTGCCGCGTCGGCCGCGGGCGCCGGTAGCGCCGCGCCCGCGACCGACGCCTCGGGCGCTGCCTCCCCCGCGGCCGCTCCGTGCGCCTCGCTGCCCCCAGGGCTGGCGCCTCGGGCTGCCGCGGCGGCCGCCGCCGCCGCCGGCGCCGCGGCCGCCGCGGCCGTCGCGGCGGCCGGCCGAGGCGAGGCCGCCGCGGCCGCCGGCGCTGTGGCGCGTGCTGCGGCGCTGGGGCCGGCCGCGGCGGCCGCGGCCGCCGCGGGCGCGGCGGCCGCCGCTGTGGCCGCCGCGGCCGCCGGCGCGCCTGCCGTGGCCGGCGCGGCCACCGCCGCCGCCGTCGCCGCCGCCGGCGGGCCGCTGGCGGCGGCCGCGGGCTTCACGCAGGACGGTGACGCCGCGGCCCTCAGGCGGCGCCACGAGTCAGAGAGCAAGGATGTGCGCGTGAGCGTGCCCGTTTCGAAGGGATACATCACGCCAGAGGTCGCTGGCAAGTCTCCTGGCGAGATCTCCCCGACGCCCACGGTGAAGTTCGATGACAAGCTGAACGCCGAGTCCGCGAACGCAAGGCAGGCGACCACTCCCTGCGGATGTCCGGCGCCAGCTTTTGCGAGCCGGGGAGGGGTGACGTCTACACCGCCTACTTCGAGGTGAAGGGCGACGCTTGGGGCGGTGTCCCATGTCGCTGCTGAGGGGTGTGTGACGGCAAAGGGGCATCCTACTAGGCTGCGGGGGCTGTTTCGCGGGGAGACCTCCGATGCCTTTGATGACTCGTCATCATTAAACACTTTCCCCGTTGTGGAGCCAGGACGAGTGACATCGCATCCTCCGCAGTTTTTGGTACCGGTTACCGGTTCGTTGAAGAGCTGCGGCCGTCACAGGGACAGAGTGCGACGTCCACATCGAATTAGCCGACAGTTGTTACCATCATGCGGCTTGCGTTTTTCGACCATGAATTGCCAGGGTCTGCAATGGAATTTGGTGCAACACGCTCATAAGTTACGTAATGTCGTCACTTGTGCACGCACGCAGCGCACGGATGTCATGTGTGTTACAGACCTGCACTATCACACTATGGACGTGCATGTGGTACATGTTGAGGAGTTTGTGTTAGTTGCTCGGGGACGTGTGGGTATCCTATTACGGCATGCTTTGGGTAAATTATGGGAGGAGGGGGGACGACAGCTACACTGGGAAGAAGGGTCTGATCGTCTACTCGCTGTGGTCTTCTCCTTATACGCTCGGAGGGTGGCCTGTGTAAGCAACTATAGTCCTACGGGTGCTACGGTTGGTCCGCGGCGGGATCACTACAGGTATGCACGTTGCTTGTCTTCACGGCTGGGGTCCGAGGTTACACAACTATGGGGTGGGGATTTCAATGGGCATATCTGCAGCAACGACGGGGACGGTAAGCGGGTTGGTACACGGGGACTTGGTACGGCGACTACTATGGGTGGGAGAGTGCTTAAAGAATTTATAGCTGCTTCCGGGTTGCTACATGTAGATAGTTGGCACGCGTGTGGTCGGCGGGGTACGTGGCGGCATACACAGACAGGTCAGTGGTACGAATTGGATGTGTTCCTGGTGTCCGACCACGCTAAAGGTTGGGTGCAGCCTCGTATACACACTTTCCCTGGTGTTGCCGATCACATGGGTAAAACCATGCATCTTCACGTGGCCACGCCGGAGAAAACCGAGCAACGACAACAACGCAAGCAACGATTTCTGCATTTTTCTCGCTCCGCCGAGCCTCGTGATGAACGCCACCGTTGTCAGTCAGAAGTACTACGTGGGCCGACTGGGGTCGCCGAGGCGGCACGTTCTCAATTTGCTGGATTGGTAGATACGTGCATGGCGGATCTGGGGGTTCCTGATGATGAAGCCGGTTGTGATTTTCAGGGAAATGGGTGGGAAGATACGTACGAGTCACGGCTCCATGGGTACACGGATGGTGGTGCAGATCCTGCGACTGTGACGGCTGGTATGGTTACGACACCTGCTCGTGCTGGTTGGGGGCTGGCGGCGTGGCTGGGCGGACGAGCCTGGGAGTTTTGTGGCCCCATTGTGACGTCGAGTTCTTCTTCCGCTTACCTCGGTGCTGACCGCCACACGAATAACACCGGCGAACTCACAGCCATTATTAAGTGTCTGCAGTTTGCATTGGATGCCGAATTTCGTTTTCAGCATTTGGTCATACATTACGACTCTACTTACGCTGCCAACATGACACAAGGATTCTGGACGCCGTCGTCTAACCTTACATTGGTACGACGGGCACAAAAACTTCTCGCTCGTGCTCGCTTGCGGTTCCGGGTGTCTTTCTGTTGGGTTCACGGCCACGATGGTAATCTTGGGAATGAGGCCGCGGACCGGTTGGCTACGGATGGTAAGGCTGGTATCCTCAGGGACATCCCTCGGCGACGATTGAGGGGCAAGAGCGCTGGCTTAGACAGCGGCTCGCGGGGTTCTTCGGGTGGTCCGCCACAGCCGGCTGCGGACCCGACTCCTCATCCCGGCCCTCCCACTCTTGCTTGGTCGAAGTTTGCAGAGCTGCTCCGCGGAGCCGTAGACGTGGTTGCCGGTACTCGAGTCGCATCGCGCCCTGGTGCTCCTCTTTCTGCTCAGGACAAGATCTCTCTGGAATCGCTGGATGCTACCATCACGGCGCGCTGGGACGATGTACGGCGGGCACAGCAAACACTTGGGGAGGTCGAGGCCTTGAAAAATTACAAGCTAGCCAAGCGACGGCGCAAGGATTTTCTCAAGAAGGCACGGTCACGGTATGTACGTGAGATAATCGGCCGTTTGAACGCAGCAATGAATCAGGGTGATTGGGGACGGTTCCATCAGCATCTGCGCTCCCTTGGAGTGGTCGTACAGGGCATAGACAATTCTGGACTGACACCTTTTTCCCTTGCGGATTTACGTAAGCATAACATGACGGTTTCTGCTCAGCGGGAGCCGGTGTCCAAGGACATGATTGATGCTGCCGTTCCCGCTCGCCAGATGTGTACAGCACTTGGTGACTTACCGAGTCGTGACGAATATCATGCTGCACTTTCCGCTTTGCGAGAAACGGCGCCTGGAAAAGATGGGGTCACTGCGAACATGCTACGGTCTGCCGGACCGCGGGCTCGATCCGAACTGTATCGATTGTTGTGTGCGCTCTGGACCACGCCCGGTGCCGAATGGGAAGAACTACTTCGGGTAGGTATCGGGGTGGCCCTCTATAAAGGGGAAGGAGAACGCACCAAACTCGACAACTACAGGACTATTGTTCTATTATCTGTGGTTTCACGATTGCTCGGTCGGGTGGTGGCCACACGTGTGATGAGGTACGCAGAGGAGCACCGCTTATTGTCCAATTTCCAGTTCGGCAACCGTAAGCATCGGAGTGTGCAGGACGCGCTTCTAGTCGTGCGCTTGGTTTTGGAACTTGCGGCTGAAGTGGCGCATGCACCGGGTGCTGAGCCTGATCTCGGGATGTGTCTTTCTCTGGTCTTCTTTGACATACGGAAGGCCTTCCCTTCCGTGGACAGGGAAGCGGCGTACCATCTTTTCTCTCGGCTTGGCTTTCCTCCCACCTTGTTGGCCGTGCTGCGAGGCCTCCACGATAATACGTTCTATCAAATGGCGAGTAAGGCCGGCCTGAGTGACACCTACACCTTGCAGGTTGGATTTCGAGAAGGATGCACCACGTCGCCGGGGTGCTACACTCTGTACCATGATGCTGCGATGTCGGACTTCTCTTCGCGGACCGCCCCTCTTCGCAACGAGCACCCGGAAGCCTTTATCGATCTTTGTTCTCTTGACGGAAGAGCTTTTAACAGGAGGGTGAACTCCCGCACGGTACCGGGATCACGGCTACTGGCTCGTTTGGGTCGTCGCACTGAAATGTTGTCTCTTCTCAACATCATGTTTGCTGATGACACTTCTATGGTATGTCGGGAGCAGATTCGGCCACGTCTCGAGGAGCTGCTTACTGAGACTTTGAAGGACTGGGGGGAGGAGATCAAACCTACCAAGAC